ATTACCTGCATCTCAAAGGTGGCTTCCCAGGAGCGGGCAAAGGAGGCAGAAGAGAAGGGCTGTTTGGGCTGTCTCCTGCCCATTCCTTTCTCTGCCCTTATCTGGAGTTCTGAAGGTTTCCAGAGGACTAGCTTAGAATCCATGGCATTGTAGAGCTGGAAGGAACCATGAGGGTCATCTAGTCCAACCCCCCTGCAATGCAGGAATTCTTTTGCCCAACAAGGGGCTTGAACCACGACCCTGAAATTAAGAGTCTCATGCTGGACCAACTGCAGCAAATCGGATCTTAGAATTGTCTAAGACAACCCTCTGCGATACAAGACGCATAGCTAAATGCAACCCAATTCCATGATGCGCCTGAAAGAAATTCAGATTTGTTAATCATTTCCCTCTCACTTCATTTTAACAATCTCTCTGCAATGTGTAATGTATGTGCCTGCAACTCTGGGTAACTCAGGTTGAAACTGAAGAAACAGGCTGTGTTTCATCAGCTGTGAAGATGCCACAAGCCTCTTTGAACTCATTCCTGGCCTCTCCTCCCACGTGACCTGCCCACCTACTTAAGCTCGAAATGATAAATGCATAGTCATAGGATCATAGAATTGTAGCGTTGGAGGGGACCCCAAGGATTATCTAGTCCAACCCCCTGCAATGTAACCTGCCACTGAGGTCGGCATATTTGCAGGTGGGGTAATAAAAGGGCATTTTCCATTTGTAAATAATAATAATAATAATAATAAATTTTATTTATATCCCGCCCTCCCCAGCCAAAGCCAGGCTCAGGGCGGCTAACAACAAATAAATAATCAAACAATTAAATAGTCCAACATTCTAAAACATTTCATTATAAAAATTAATTAAAATCAAATTAATGGCAACCGTTGAGCAAAGTTCTGTGTAGGTTGCCGGAGGTGGGAGTCAGGCTGGGCCCTGACCAAAGGCCTGGTGGAACAACTCTGTCTTGCAGGCCTTGCGGAAAGATGTCAGGTCCCGCAGGGCCCTAGTCTCTTGTGACAGAGCGTTCCACCAGATTGGAGCCGCAGCCGAGAAAGCCCTGGCTCTAGTTGAGGCCAGCCTAACCTCTCTGAGGCCTGGGACCTTCAGGATGTTTTTATTTGCAGACCGTAGGTTCCTCTGTGGGGCATACCAGGAGAGGCGGTCCCGTAGGTACGAGGGTCCTAGGCCGTATAGGGCTTTAAAGGTTAAAACCAGCACCTTAAACCTGATCCTGTACTCCACCGGGAGCCAGTGCAGCTGGTATAGTACCGGATGAATGTGATCTCGCAGCGAAGACCCCATAAGGAGTCTCGCCGCGGCATTCTGCACCCGCTGGAGTTTCTGGGTCAGTCTCAAGGGCAGCCCCACGTAGAGCGAGTTACAATAATCCAGTCTGGAGGTGACCGTCGCGTGGATCACAGTGGCTAGGTCAGGGCGAGAGAGATAAGGGGCCAACTGCTTAGCTTGGCGGAGATGAAAAATGCCGCCTTTGTTATAGCTGTAATCTGCGCCTCCATAGAGAGGGAGGTATCGAAGATTACACCCAAACTCTTAACGGACGGTGCTGGCACTAATTGCACCCCCGCAAGAGATGGGAGTTGCCCCCAATCCCATATCGTCCCGTCCCAGCCAGAGGACCTCTGTCTTCGAAGGATTTAACTTCAACCGGCTTCGCGTAACCATCCAGCCACAGCTTCCAAACATCTGGTCAGTGTGTCTGGGGCCGAGTCAGGATGGCCATCCATCAACAGATAGAGTTGGGTGTCATCGGCATACTGATGGCAACCCAGCCCAAAACTCCGGACAAGCTGGGCGAGGGGGCGCATAAAGATGTTAAAAGCATCGGGAGAGTATCGCACCCTGAGGCACTCCACACACCAAGGAGTGGCGGGATGACAATTCCCCCAAGCGCCACCCTCTGTCCCCGACCGGAGAGAAACGAGCGCAGCCATTGAAGGACTGTGCCCTGGATCCCCACGTCGGCAAGGCGGTGGTCCAGGAGTTCGTGATCAACCATGTCGAAGGCTGCTGACAGATCTAGAAGAATCAGCAGCCCCGACCCGCCTCGATCCAGCTGCCTACGGAGATCATCTGTTAGGGCGACCAGAGCCGTCTCGGTCCCATGACCAGCGCGGAAGCCAGACTGGAATGGATCTAGAGCCGATGTTTCATCCAGAAACCTACCAAGCTGTTCAGCAACCGCTCTCTCAATCACCTTACCCAGGAATGGAAGATTCGAAACCGGGCGGTAATTGGATAGATCTAAGGGATCTAATGATGTTTTCTTTAAGAGCGGGCGCACCACTGCCTCCTTCAATTCCCTGGAAATATCCCGGTGCCAAGGGACAAATTGATGATATCCCCAGGGGGCCCGCACCTCGCCTGGACACGCTCTAATCAGCCAAGACGGGCACGGGTCAAGAGGACAGGTGGTGGGCTTTCCAGCTCGGAGGAGTCTGTCCACATCGGCTGGGGATATCCGATCAAAGTGGTCCAATACTGGACCCGAGGACAGTCGAGGGGCCTCCAGTTCCTTTATTGTATCCAAATTGGCAGGGAGGTCATGGCGGAGCAACAGGACCTTCTCCGCAAAAAAGCTCGCAAACGCCTCACAGCTATGTGTCAGATTGTTATTTAAATTTGGCTGTCCTTCAAGGGACGTTAAAGACCTAATTATACTAAATAATTGCGCCGGGCGAGAGCTAGCGGATGCAATGGAGGCCGAGAAGTAAGACTTCTTAGCGGCCTTCACCGCCATCTCATAGGTTTTCATAAAAACCCTATAAGATGTTCTTGAGGCTCCGTCACGGGCACCCCGCCATACTCGCTCTAGCCGTCTGAGGTCCCGCTTCATTTTCCGAAGCTCCTCGGTAAACCAGGGAGCCCGGTTTCTGCGGAGTCGCAGAGGGCGCTTAGGTGCGATCTCATCTATGGCTGCCAGGAGCTGGGTATTCCAGCCCTCAACAAGCTCAGTCAATGAGTCGCCAGGGGAGCAAGGTCCCGCAAGGCTTGACGGAATCTATCAGGGTCCATCAGCCTCTGCGGGCGAGCCCAAATCGGCTCGCCACCTAAGCAGGGTGGGGGTGGAAAGTCAATCCTGGCTTTCAGAGCGTAGTGATCAGACCATGGCACCTTAATTGAAGGAGACATGATCACATCTATACCTACGCCAAAGATCAAATCCAGCGTGTGGCCTGCTTGATGTGTGGGGCCTGAAACAAACTGGGAGAGCCCTAGTGTTGCCATGGAAGACACCAGGTCCAGAGCCTGTGAGGAGGGAGTGGCATCAGCATGGATGTTGAAGTCCCCAATACCAATAGGTTAGGGAACTCCAAGGCCCAGCCGGCCACCGCCTCCAGTAGGCCTGACAGGGTGGCTGCTGGTGCGCTAGGTGGCCGGTACACCAGCCAGACAGCCAAGCTCACCTCAGAGCCCCACACTAGGCCAACACATTCAATGCCAGGGATCGATGGCGATGGTAGAGCCCTGAAAGGACAATCTTCCCGGATTAATAATGCCACCCTCCCCCGGCCCACAGTCCGTGACTGGTGGAGGACGGAGAAACCCGGGGCGCCATCTCTCGTAAGGTAACTGTTGCCCCTTCGCGTACCCAGGTCTCCGTCACACAAGCCAGGTCAACCCCTGCGAGGTAAAGAAATCTCGCAGAGTGGCGGTTTTGTTGCCTATAGACCTGGCATTGCACAACACCAGTGACGGAGGTGAGTAATCCTTGCTCACCCTACCCTCGTCCCTCGGGATGGGGCGCAGATTGGAAGGGGTACGAGCATATCCGTATCTCGATCCCCTTCGCCTATAACATCTGCCCCCACCACCATACCTCCCTCGCCCTCCACGGTAGCAATCCCAAGCCTCGTACAAGCCTCCATTTACAAAATAAAAAACCAAACCAAACTGAAAACAATTCTACCTAAGCAAAACCAATCCCCACCCCAAACCACAATAAAACAGAACAAAATAAAAATACATAGATAAAAACCACTGTTCACGGTGGTACAATAAAGTAAAAAGTAAAAACACCTTTAAAATACTTTAAAATATATAAAAACATTTTTAACAATTGCTGCGGCAGCACCAGCGTCCTTAAAACAGTAGCGGAGGTGAGTCTGGGCCCCACCCCCTAGGCCAGGTGGAATCAGCCTGAGGAGGGAGCGGCCTTCCCCAACACTCACGGTGCAGCAGCAGCGATGTCCCAATGCCTCAGTGAGGCTTCTTAAAGCTGTGGCGAAGGTGAGTCTGGGCCCCGCCCCTAGGCCTGGTGGAATCAGCCTGAAGAGGGAGCGGCCTTCCCCAACACTCACGGTGCAGCAGCAGCGATGAACTGCCCTGACACTTTAAAAAAGGTAGGGTGGGAAGCAGAAGATCCAGCTGAATGGAGTCAAAGCTTCCTTTGGGCTCCAACCGGAACATTCCTCCTTGTTTCCAAGGGAGGCCAGGCCTGGGAAATACCATATTTTTCGCTCTATAAGATGCACCAGACCACAAGCCGCACCTTGTTTTTGGAGGAGGAAAACAAGAAAAAAAATATTCTGAATCTCAGAAGCCAGAGGGATCACTGCACAGTGAAAGCATCAATCCCTCTTGCTGTTCTGGCTTCTGGGATAGCTGTGCAGCCTGCATTCGCTCCATAAGACGCACACACATTTCCCCTTACTTTTTAGGAGGGAAAAAGTGAGTCTTATAGAGCAAAGAATATGGTAGTTCTATTTGTTGTGGGTGGTATTGATTGATGCAATAGCTGCAATCAAAGCTTGCTCTGTCTCATGGAGGTACCCAAAATCACATGTGTCAGTGAGTTGAGAAGAAGTCCTGTTGTCTTTTATTTCTGTACAGAAAGGACCAGCATGGCTTTCGTTGTCCCAAATCAACTGGCCGCCGGATAAGGGATACAGCGTTCCAAACAGTTTTATACATTAGGCAAAAATTCCACACATTCCATTAAGTTTAAATTTCCTATCCAATCAAAGTACTCAGTTCCTCTTACCCCATTTCCTTATAAGGTACGTAACCCCGTGATTGCTCTATAGTTACTACAGTGGGAAGCATGCGCACTAGATATGCGTACAGACAAAGGTCCGCTAGCATTTTATTGGCAGGATTAGATTTCACCTCCAGTTACCGACCATATTCCTTCCGAGCATGCTCAGTAAGTCGAAACCTTATGTGGTACAATTATTTATAATTCTACTTTGCAAGTGTAAATAGGAGTTGTGGGGAGAGTTCTGGTTGCTTGTTCCATGCACGTTTACTAGAGAAAGCAAGAGTCTTCCCCTGTAAGACAGTTGGGTGAGTCTTGCAGCAGCTGTTGTCAAGGTGCATATGTTCCAGAAGCATTGAAGAAGCAGGAATTCCAGGTGGTTGATGGGAGAACTGCCTGGGCTCATGAGTTGGGAGCCCACCTTTGGGGAGCAGTGAAGCTGTGTCCTTCAGCTGGACTCCTCTGGGCCCTGCTGCCCTTTAAGCCTTATCAAAACCTGGGAAGAGCAGAAGGGAACAGTTAGAGGGAAGCCCTGGGTGAGCTGCTCCATTTGTAGTGTCTTGTTTTCTGGGGGTGGTAGGCATTCAACCTGAGACCTTCTGCATGCCAGTCAGCCATCCTTGCCACCACTGAGCAATGCCTGTTCAACCCCCGGCCTTTGGACGAGGAACCAAATGAAAGACATGCTTGTAAAAAAAAACAATGTAAATGAAAGGACAGTCAGGAACTAGAGAAAGATCTGAGGAATGGGCTCAGGCAGGGCCAGTTTTCAAGTAGAATGAAGCAATGGTTTATGCAAAGCTGTGGGCAATTGGGCAAGATCTAGGGCAACCTTGGAGGAAGCCGGTTACATCTGTTCATGCCAGGAGCTTCTCTTCCTGATGGACCCACCCCTTTTTGTGACTACAAGAGGAATATTTGGAAACAAGGCTGGTTTCCTCACCATCGGTCACTGTTAAGAAAGAAAAAAGATGGTTGCTTTTCCTGCTCATTTATCCACTGCACCAAGGGCTCTAGCAGAACACAGGAAGATCAGAAGAGCCTGCTGGATCAGGCCAGCACTCTGTTCTCAGTGTGGGAAATCAGCTAGCAGGATCCAAGCTCAGGAGCCAGCTCTCCTCTGCCATGCTATCCTGCAAGTGGTATTCAGAAACACGATGGAGGCAGCGCATGGTCATCCTGGCTGTTGTTGTTTAGTCATGTCCGACTCTTCGTGACCCCATGGACCAGAGCGCGCCAGGCACCAACAGACTTCTCTATGAATTTTTCCAATCCTCTTTTAAAACCATCCAAGCTGGTAGCTGTCACTGCCTCCTGAAATTAGGTGCCTTTGCATCTTGTGGGGAGAAGAGAGGGACATAGCTGTTGATATTTTCACCCCTCCCATTGCAAGAATCTCCTGATCTGATGTTTTGAGAAAGGAGGGGGCGGAAACTACTCTTCTACTCTACCACTCCTGCCTGACTGCCTGACTCTGTGTGTGGAGAGAGTCTTATATAGTGACTAGATGGCTGAGTGGGAGCTGTAACACTCATGCAAGCCAGTAGTTCTTTAGTTTGTAGTAGCTATTAGAAATAAAAGGAGTTATGCTTCACAGCTAGCTTCCGCGTTATTTATACTCTGCTGAGTCTGGTGCTCACAATGCACAGTTGTGGGTCCAGTGCACTGGGACCTGCTTTCCAGGATTGGAAGGTCTCTGAAAGTGCTCCAGTTGCCTAGCCTAATCGGGGCAGAACTAGTTATTGAGCCCAGTCACTGACATCAGTTGAAAGGCGTACTGACAATAGCAATGGTCAGGAGAGGGCCAGACTCAGTTACAGACTGCAACCGTGTGCCGAGGAAGAACTTGGGAGTGGAGTTTTAATGGCGGAGTTTGTTTATGTTCTCTGGGACTTATTTGTAGCCGCAGCCTGTATGCGAGTGATGAACAGCGGAAGTTGGAATTTGATCTTGCAAACACTGCAAAGACTGAACAAAGGAAGATGATAATCAACTCTCCCAGCACACCAGGTCTCAGACAACAAGAAGATTATGAAGGGCTACAGACATGAAATGGATTTTATATTCATAAGAGGTGGCTGCCCAAGAGGAGGAAATAATGGCTTGCTGTAAGAATGGACAACAACTAGTAAAGGATGAAATGGATATTAAAGAAGAGATTATATATCAACAGGAGGAAGAGATGGACATATGTTTGCAACAGTAGCGGAAAACCTGATTTTTTAAAAAGAAATTGTATTAAAGCAAAGTAATTCGGACTGATTTGTAATGATTTGGAAATCCAATTAAAAAATAATATATTTTAAAAAGGAGAGGACCAGGCTCTAGTCGTGTGCTTGAGCCACTGCACCCACCTGCCCTTACCTGCCGGGGCGCAAACCTTGCTGCATCCCATTGGGCAGCATTTGTCGGTCCCTTTGCAGTGGTTGTCCTCGCAGCAATCCGTTTTGCATGGCAGCCCAGGAGGGATTTTGAACTTGGGGCACTCGCCGGGTTTTACTGTGGGGAAAACACACACAAAAGAGAGACTATTAAACCGTGGAACTCGCATTTGCATGATTTCCCCCGGATCCAGTCCTGTCCTCTTGAACTTATAAGCCACCCAGAGCCCAAAGGCTAGGTGATGGGCAACACAACAGGTGTACTGCAGAACGGACTTTCCCCAGGTGGAGGCGTCCAATGGTCTGGGTCTGGAGTGTGGGCGCTTTTCCCAGGTTGGGATTTAGGAGAGTCACCCACCTCGGGTATAAAGGCTATAACGGCAGATTTTCAATTTGGGGGTGGGTGGGGAATGTTTAGGGATGCAGGAGAGGATATGTTGTTTGATTATAGCCTTTCCAACTTGTGTAAACAAGTTCCCCAATTTCAGCAGAGTAACACATTCCCCTTTATATTAAGCTTTGCAACGGTTGCGTTTGCTCAGGCTTGCTAAAGCCTCTATGATAACTGTTCTGGTATTTTCCCCTTATTCCATCATAAAAGATAAGACAAGACACAGTCTTCTATAAAAGTATAAAAAGGTGTACTAACACATCATTCTGTTCACAATAGGATCCCAGAAGGGAGACTTAGCTTAGAAAAGTAACATACACCTGGAAACTATCTCATAAGGAGACAGTCCCTTTGTCCTCTCCTGGCTGGAGGCCAAGAGAGCATCTTTGGCTAAGCAGATGTTGCTTCTTCGATGCATGTAGTCAAAGGAGAGAGATGGCTGCCCTGCCCTGTGCTTTTGTCGTTACCTGCACAGGTGAGGCCACGCCCACCTCTAGTCACATGCAGAGGAAGTCTGTCCCAGCCCAGAAGGAAACAGGAAGTTTACCTGCTGGCTGGACAAACATTCCTCCCCATGTGTAAACATGTTCACTCTAGGAATGTTGTACTTGACTGCTCTTGTGTTTCACATCCCACATGATGGGATCCTGGAAGAGGACGTGAAGTTCCTCTGGATTCCATGGCAGGGCATGCCTTCATCATCTCTCCCTCCCACAGTGAGCCAAGACCAAGGACCCTTCTGATCCATATTGGGTTTCTGAGGGGTTTGACTGCATCCTCCTCAGGCTCCTCATAGCATTATTTGGGAAGCAGATGATGGTCTGCGGTGCCCTCCTTCAGCTTTCCCCACTGCGTTGGCTTTGAGAGGGTCGGGGAAGTCACACCTCTGTTCCTTTATTCTGATGCTGGTGTTGGGGTCAGTACTCTAACCGCACAGACTCTGGCACTCTCAAAAGGCAGTGTTTCCCCTCCTTTCCCAGCACAGAGAGAGTCAGCCAGCTGGCACAGGGCTGGTTTTGAATAACTCAGAATCGTAGATGACCTGAGGGCAGTGCTTTTTCTGGGGGGACATGGGGGTGCACATACCCTTAAACATTTTGTGAATCTTAAGTTTGGCTTCATTGAGGGTCAGTATTTCAATATGAGTAGGAAAATGAGAGGGACGCGGGTGGCTCTGTGGGTTAAACCACAGAGCCTAGGACTTGCCAATCAGAAGGTCAGCGGTTTGAATCCCTGCGACAGGGTGAGCTCCCGTTGCTCGGTCCCTGCTCCTGCCAACCTAGCAGTTCAAAAGCACGTCAAAGTACAAGTAGATAAATAGGTACCGCTCTGGTGGGAAGGTAAATGGCATTTCCGTGCGCTGCTCTGGTTCACCAGAAGCGGCTTAGTCATGCTGGCCACATGACCCGGAAGCTGTACGCCGGCTCCCTCAGCCAATAAAGAGAGATGAGCACCGCATACCCAGAGTCAGTCATGACTGGACCTAATGGTCAGGGGTCCCTTTACCTAGGAAAATGAGAGTACCCCTAAAAAAATTTTTAAGGAAAAAAGCACTGCCCGAGGGTCATCCAATCCAACCCCCCTGCAATACAGGAATTCCAGCTCAAGAATCCCTGACAGATGGCCATCCAGCCTCTGCTTAAAGACCTCCAACGAGGGAGTGTCCATCACTTTCCAAGGGTGTCCATTCCACTGTGGAACAACTAACTCACTGTCAGAAAGTGATTCTTAATGTTTAGTCAGGATCTCTTTTCTTGTCATTTGAATCCATTGGTTCGGGTCCTCCCCTTGGGAGCAGCAGAAAACAAGGGCCGAATTGTCCATGTGATTAAAAAAGATCATTAGTGGGAGGTTTTCTCAGAGACGAGGGCTACACTTGTCCCTTTGAGTATTTCTCAGGAGCGCTTGAAAGCCTTTGTGCCAGAAGCACATTGAAGTCCTGGGGAACTGATAAAGCTAAGAATCTTAACAGCTGCTGAATGGCTGGATTCTGACCTCTCAGTTCTTGCAGAGCTCCTTGGTAAAGAGCGGACAAGCTCACAGGTCCCAGCTCTTTCCCATACACCCCACCTCCCTCTGATATAGGGGACATCCTACTGAAGGTGAGACTGTTGCACCCCAAGACCCCAGTCTGCTTCTGAAGGGAAAGGACTTCTTACCGTTTAGCGGAGTTTGGCAAGTGTGGCCACAGTTGTTGCTGCAGCACTTCTTGTCCCCAGGACATGAATTATCTCCAGAACATTCCTCCACACACGTTCCACCACCATCCAGTGTGGGGCAGTATCCTGGCTTCCCTGGAACAGAACAACCACATGACTTCCCAGCAGTGGAATTGGGGTCTTTTAAGTCAGCTCACTCTGGGCTCCAGGCTCCCTTATAGATTTGGAGAGTTGGAAGGGATCCTCACGGGTATCAGGTCCAAGCCTCAGCTCAAGAATCCCTGCAGGTGACCATCCAACCTCTGCCTAAAGGCCTCCAAGGAATGAGAGTCCACCACCTCACGAGGGAGCCTGTTCCACTGTCAAACAGCTCTTATCATCAGAAAGGTCTTCCTGATGTTGAGTCATCATCTTCTTGTAATTGTAATCCATTGGCTTGGGTCCTACTCTCCGGAGCAGCAGAAAAACAGCTTGCTCCATCTTCCTTGTGACAGCCCTTCAGGCATTTGAAGAGGGCTGTCATGTCACCTCTTAGTCTTCTCTCCTCCAGTCAAAATATACCCAACTCCCTCAACTGTTCCTCACAAGGCTTGGCTCCCAGACCCTTGATCACCTCTGTTGCCCTCCTCTGCACACCTTCCAGCTTGTTAATATCCTTCTTAAACTGTGGCACCCAGGATTGGACATGGGACTGCATGTGTGATTTTGGAATAATATAACACAAAGGGCTGGGCTGGACAGGAAGGGGATGCAGCTGTCTTTTAGCAGCACACCAAGATCACAGCATTCCAGAATTGGAACCCCAAAGGTTCATCTAGTCCAACCCCCTGCGACACAGGAATCCCAGCTAAAGAATCCCTGACAGGTGGCCATCCATTACTACGTATAAACCTCAAGTGAAGGAGAGTCCACCACCTTCCAAGGGAGCCTCTGCCTTTGATTAACCGGCAGTTTGAAGGCCCCTTCCTGGCAGTGCTGCTTACCTTCTGACTCGCAGTCTGGAGTCTGAGAACCTGCCGTTGTCAGCTCAGCACAAAGGATGAAGAGCCCCACAAGGACCACAAGGGCAGACTTCATGGTGCAGCTTGAAGAGAGGTGCCAAGACCCAGCCTCTTGGGGATATATAAGCCCTCCTTGAAGAAGAGGTTGGCTTTGGAACCAGAGCCAAAAATTAGCAGGTGATGCAACAATGAGATGGCAGTTTGGGTGACCTTTTCACAAAAAATGGGTTTTGGCAGGAAATGAAGACATTGCCTCCGGAGATTGGTTCATACCTGTTTGGGGCCATTGTTGGCAATTTTTTCCAGTCAAAACTGGAGCTTCCTGGTTCTGCAGGCTTCTGGCAGGAGTAAACCCCAGGACATGGGGAAACTCCACAGCCCTGACCTGGCTTGGCAGAAGGGTGCTTGCGTACCAGGTGGAGGGGAGCGTTGCTGCTGATTCTCAATGGGCAGCCTCTTTGTCCCCTGAGTAAAAGAAAATAAAACGGCAAAAATGTTACCACTAGCAAAGGTGGAGCTGAGAACTTGAAAATATTATTACCATCGACCCCAGTCATAGAATCATAGAATCATAGAATCATAGAGTTGGAAGAGACCACAAGGGCCATCGAGTCCAACCTCCTGCCAAGCAGGAAACACCATCAGAGCACTCCTGACATATGGTTGTCAAGCCTCTGCTTAAAGACCTCCAAAGAAGGAGACTCCACCACACTCCTTGGCAGCAAATTCCACTGTCGAACAGCTCTTACTGTCAGGAAGTTCTTCCTAATGTTTAGGTGGAATCTTCTTTCTTGTAGTTTGGATCCATTGCTCCGTGTCCGCTTCTCTGGAGCAGCAGAAAACAACCTTTCTCCCTCCTCTATGTGACATCCTTTTATATATTTGAACATGGCTATCATATCACCCCTTAACCTCCTCTTCTCCAGGCTAAACATGCCCAGCTCTCTTAGCCGTTCCTCATAAGGCATCGTTTCCAGGCCTTTGACCATTTTGGTTGCCCTCCTCTGGACACGTTCCAGTTTGTCAATGTCCTTCTTGAAGTGTGGTGCCCAGAACTGGACACAGTACTCCAGGTGAGGTCTGACCAGAGCAGAATACAGTGGCACTATTACTTCCCTTGATCTAGATGCTATACTCCTATTGATGCAGCCCAGAATTGCATTGGCTTTTTAGCTGCCGCGTCACACTGTTGGCTCATGTCCAGTTTGTGGTCAACCAAGACTCCTAGATCCTTTTCACATGTACTGCTCTCAAGCCAGGTGTCCCCCATCTTGTATTTGTGCCTCTCATTTTTTTGCCCAAGTGCAATACTTTACATTTCTCCCTGTTAAAATTCATCTTGTTTGTTTTGGCCCAGTTCTCTAATCTGTCAAGGTCGTTTTGAAGTGTGATCCTGTCCTCTGGGGTGTTAGCCACCCCTCCCAATTTGGTGTCATCTGCAAATTTGATCAGGATGCCCTTGAGTCCATCACCCAAGTCGTTGATAAAGATGTTGAATAAGACCGGGCCCAAGACAGAACCCTGTGGCACCCCACTAGTCACTCTTCTCCAGGATGAAGAGGAACCATTGATGAGCACCCTTTGGGTTCGGTCAGTCAGCCAGTTACAAATCCACTGAGTGGTAGCATAGTCAAGACCACATTTTACCAGCTTCTTTACAAGAATATCATGAGGCACCTTGTCAAATGCCTTGCTGAAATCAAGGTAGGCTACATCCACTGCGTTCCCTTCATCCACCAGGCTTGTAATTCTGTCAACAAACGAGATCAGGTTAGTCTGACATGACTTATTTTTCAGAAATCCATGCTGACTATTGGTGATCACAGCATTCCTTTCTAGGTGCTCACAGACTGTTTGCTTAATGATCTGCTCCAGAATCTTCCCTGGTATTGATGTCAGACTGACTGGGCGGTAATTATTTGGGTCCTCTCTTTCCCCTTTTTGAAAATAGGGACAACATTTGCCCTCCTCCAGTCTGCCGGGACTTCGCCTGTTCTCCAGGAATTCTCAAAGATGACTGCCAGTGGTTCTGAGATCACATCTGCCAGTTCTTTTAATACTCTTGGATGCAGTTCATCTGGCCCTGGAGACTTGAATACATCTAAACTAGCCAAGTATTCTTGTACTATCTCCTTAGTTATTCTGGGCTGTGTTTCCTTTGCTGAATCATTTGCTCCAAATTCTTCAGGTCGGGCATTGTTTTCTTTATCGGAGAAGACTGAGGCAAAGAAGGCATTGAGGAGTTCAGCTCTTTCTGTGTCCCCTGTTTGCATTTCACCATCTTCTCCTCTGAGTGACCCCACTGTTTCTTTGTTCTTCCTTTTGCTACGGACATACCCATAAAAGCCTTTTTGTTGCTTTTAACCTCTCTAGCAAGCCTGAGTTCATTCTGTGCTTTAGCTTTTCTGACTTTGTGTCTACACGTGCTGGCTATTTGTTTGAATTCCTCTTTGGTGGTTTCCCCCCTTTTCCATTTTTTGTACACATCCTTTTTAATCTTAACTCAGTTAAAAGTTCTTTAGATAGCCACCCTGGCTTCTTTAGGCACCTTCCATGTTTCCGTCTCATTGGTATTGCCTGACGTTGTGCTTTTAGTATCTCCCTCTTAACAAACTCCCAGCCATCATGAACTCCCTTTCCTTTTAGTATTACTGTCCATGGGATCTCACCCAGCACTTCCCTAAGTTTTATGAAGTCAGCTTTCTTAAAGTCAAGAAATTGAGTCCTAGTATGCTTGGCTGCTCCTTTCCGCTGTATAGTAAACTTCAGAAGAGCATGATCACTTGCGCCTAATGATCCTTCCACTTCTACCCCACTAACCAGGTCATCAACATTGGTTAGGACCAGATCTAAAATGGCTGTTCCTCTTGTTGCTTCTCCCACTTTCTGGACAATGAAGTTGTCTGCAAGGCCAGTGAGGAATCTGTTTGACCTTATGCTCTTGGCTGAGTTTGACATCCAACAAATATCCGGGTAATTGAAGTCCCCCATTACTACTATCTCCCTTCCTTTTGCATGCTTGGCCATCTGTTCCAGGAAGGCATCATCTATGTCCTCCGTTTGGCTTAGGGATCTATAGTAAACTCCCACAATGAGGTCACTGTTATTCTTCTCTCCCTTAATTTTGACCCAAATGCTCTCACTTTGGCTTTGAGGTTCTAAATCTTGGATCTCTTCACAGGTATACACATCCCTGACATATAACGCCACTCCTCCTCCTTTCTTGTCTGGTCTGTTTCTCTGAAATAGATTGTATCCCCCATTATTACATTCCAATCGTGGGACTTATCCCACCAGGTTTCAGTGATGCCTATTATGTCATATTTAGTTTGCTGTACCAAGAGCTCAAGCTCATCTTGTTTATTTCCCATGCTTTGCGCATTAGTGTACAGACATTGAAGTCCATTAATCATTCCCCGTGACTCTTATTTAAGGATTTTTTCCTCCCACCACTAGGTCTGTGTGCTGTTTGCTCCATTTGGTCTATGACATTTGGATGATCATCTTCATCAATTGATAGACTCCTACCTTCAGGAGCACTATCTCCCTCCCCACATTAGTCAGTTTAAAGCCCTCCTGATGAGGTTTCTGAGATTTTTGGCAAAAACATTTCTCCCAACCGTTGTGAGGTGCAGCCCATCGCTTGCCAGAAGTCCATCTTCAAGAAACTGCAGTCCGTGATCTAAGAATCCAAACCGTTCCTGTTTACACCATTTGCGAAGCCAGCTGTTCACTTCCACTATTTTCCCCTCTCTCCCTGGGCCACGTCGTTCAACTGGGAGGACAGATGAGATCACAATTTGTGCATTTAATTGCTTCAATTTCCTGCCCAGAGCCTCGTAGTCTCTTTTGATCTTCTGGAGGCTATTGCTTGCAGTGTCATTGGTTCCCACATGAACCAAGAGGAAGGGGGTATTTGTCAGTGGGTTTTATGATTCCTTGCAGTCGTTCAGTTACATCTTGGATCTTAGCCCGGGAGACAGCACACTTCCCGAGACATCTTGTCAGGCCCACAGATCACTGCTTCTGTTCCCCTCAGTAGGGAATCCCCTATCACCACTACACGCCTCCTCTTAGGTTTGGCCGGGGTTCTTCTGTGAGCTGTCCGCTCCAAGGTCGCCTGCACATTCCCTGAGGACTGACTTTGCTGCTCTGTCTTCATATACCTGATCGACTGTAATGAGGGAGAGATCCTCAAATGGAGTCTGCTCTTCGTCTTCCATGCTAGGGGAGAGGACCTCAAAGCGATTGTGTATTTCTAAACAATCAGAGCGAACCCTGGGCCTCCTACTTCTTTGAGTCACATTTCTCCATATATCTGGCTCCTGTGTTGGTGAACTAGCGTCCTTCTCAGGGGAGTCCCCTGTCTCCTCCTTGGTGGAGATGGTGTGCTCTGTTGCTTCCAAGAAGAGCTCCAGCTCTCTAAGCTCTCTCCAGTCTCTGGGCAGTAAGAGACTCCAGGGATTTGAGGTGCTTATATGGGTTTTGTTTCCTTGGAAAGAAAGTCAGTGGAGACTGTGATGTCTTTGGGATAGATGGTTTTATTTACACATATACACAACCTGGAAAGATTGAGGGCACAAGGAGAAGGGGACGACAGAGGACGAGATGGTGGGACAGTGTTCTCGAAGCTACCAGCATGAGTTTGACCAAACTGCGGGAGGCAGTGGAAGACAGGAGGGCCTGGCGTGCTCTGGTCCAGGGGGTCACGAAGAGGAGGACACGACTAAACGACTAAACAACAACAACAAACATACACAACCTGGGCATAGGAGGGGAGGGGGTTCTCAGCACTGGTGGAGGAAGAGGGGGGTGGGGGGCAGCGCGATCCTGGTGGGGTTCCATCATGGCTGCCCCCCTGCAGATGCTGGGCACCCCACCCCCGCAGGTGGCGCCTCCGCCCCTGTGGGTGGCACGCCCCACCCCTAGAAGGAGCACCACACCCCTGCAGTGGCATGCCCTGCCCCCAGGACATGTGCTCCACCCCTTTGGGTGGTGCTCCCACCCCCAGGATGTGTGCCAGCCCTGCCCCTGCCTGCTCTCTGCCCCCAGTGCCAGAGCATGAAGCTCCGCCACT